GCAGGGGGGTTGGAACTGGGTGAGCTTTAAGGTCCCTTCCAACCCAAACCAGTCTGGGATTCTCCGATTCTGTGATATTGTGCTCCACACAAAACAGCTGCAGCAGTGGGTGGAAGGGGATTCTTCTTCAGCAGCTCACGAGTAGTGTCTTTGGTTTCCAGGTTGCAAAGGGATATTTTTTTTTATAGCAGCTTGTGCAACTCCCATGTTTCTCCCTGGTACCGGTGATGGCCTGTTGTGCTTTGTTTCTGCTGGAGCTGGGGTTGCATGAGTCCAGCCACACGTCACAGAAAAGTGTGGTGAGTCACATGGACCTGGTACCAACCCTTCATCTCACCCAAAGAAGTTCCTAGTGTGAGTACATCGACTCCCTTCTCCTTCCTTCCACTCTCTGGCTTGAGAGTTTTCCTTGTGCAATTGAGTCCCCTCATCCCCTTGACGTATGGAAAATGTGACTTCAGCTGGGCAGAGAGTCCTTCTGCTTACACTCTGGTTCCAGCCATGAGCTGTGTTGCCCCATGGCTTTCTTTTGTTCTTACAGCTAAGCACGTGTGATGGCTTCTGCCACCATAACCCCTGCCACCTCTGGCACCGAGGCACGTGCCTGTGCTGCAGGTACCGGTGAGGAGGAGCTGGCTGAGGATGCCAGGGAAAGCTTGTGGTGGCTGGGGGCAGGCAGTGAGCCCCATGGAGCTCCCAGCTTTGTTCCCAGTTTTTGTGCCAGGCACTCAGCTGGCAGCCACCTGCATGCCAGCACATTGTCCCGATGGCCCATCAGCGGGAACCCATCCCTGGAAGTGCGTCCCCTCCTGCTCCCCAGGTGGACTCAGACCTTCCTGGTAAATACAGTCCGTCCTGGACTGCAAACACCAGCTATTCCATCCAGCTTCAGCTGACCTGGCTTTGGCAGCAAGCGCTCTGGGATGGAGCGTTGGGCTGGCGCTGAGAACTCAGGGGCAATATCATCACTGCAGGGCACAGGCAGGACAGCGTTTGCAGCCACCAGTAGGACCTTTTTGTGGACAACAGGAAGGTTGTCACCGGCCCCGCTTCCTTCATACCAACACCCATTTGTGGAGGAGAGGAACAGGAGCATGACAGATTAATTTGCTTTCTCCTGAGTCTTTTTTCTGAGCCAGTGAAGTGATCTCAGGATTCTGTCAGAGGATCCCTAAGACCAAACGTCACCCTTCCTTTCATCCGTGCAGTGTAGTCACCTGTCATGGGAAGGAAGGTCTCTCTTGGTGTGGCTGAGGAGAAACAGCTAGATGTCTATCAGGGAT